AGCTAGGAAGAGAGCCTTCACAAAAACGGAACAGGGATGTACAATGGCTCATGCCCATAATCGCAGCACTTTGGGAGGTCAAGGCAGGAGGATCACTTGAGCCAAGAGTTGCAGACCAGTCTGGGCCAGTGAGACCCGGTCTCTACAAACAATAAAAAAATGAGCTGGGCTTGGTGGCATATGCCTACAGTCCCAGCTACTTGGGAGGCAAATGTGGGAGGATCTCTTGAGCCCAGGAGATTCAGGCTGCAGTGAGCTGTGATCACACCACTGCACTCAACCTGGGCAACAAAGTGAGACCTTGTCTCAAAAGAGTTTGTTAGTCCTTCATGCTACTTTCCAATGTGGGTAAGGTACAGGGCGCTCTGCTCATTGTGGTGAGCCAGGCTGATGGTGCTGCCACCACCTCTAATCTGCCAGTTACGGTGCCAGTGGGAAAGAGAGCTCTGGAGAACCTCACGCCACATTTAAATACTCTGACTTGAAAGGGGTACATGTAAGTTTTGTTTACATGGTCCTCAGCAACCAAGAGGGGACAGTTTCCTTTTATCATGCAAAAGGAAGCTGGAGAACTAGACATATTTTAAAACAGCATTAATGACCATCACAATTAATGACCATCACATACCTAAAGGGGAGAAAGCATCTGGCTGACTTTAGGATTTTTCCCTATATAGACATTCAATGAAAAAGGGAATAACACAGCATCTATAAATCTCTAGGTGGGAAAAAGGTTCCTCAAGAATTCTTTACCCAGGGGGAAAATCATGTAGAACATGATTCCAGATTCTGCTGAGGATGGAGAAAGCTGGAAAGAACATGGCCCTGACATTACAACAGCAACAACAAGACATTGAGTTCTGCAAATTCCCAACTTACGCTGAACCCATCGGTCAGCTGAGGTCACAGGGCAGCAAACTAACGCAAATTCTAAGGAAAAGACAGAGTCTCCAAGGAGAGACACGAGCACTTACCTGGGGCGGATACAGTCAGACAGCAGCTTTAGTGGAAAAGGTAAGCAAGAGGCAGGATCACCAAGGTAAGGTAGCAGAGAGATGGAAGCAACGAGGAAGAGTCAAATGCAGAAACCAGAAATAAAAAAACACAGGCAGAGAGATGAAGAAAGCCTCTGACAGACAGGGTCAGCAGTGGACTGGACACGCTTATCACAGGAATGCAAGGTTGGCTCACCACTCAGAAGTCAATGGTATTCACTATTTGAGCGGACTCAAGAAGATAACGTATAGGAACATCTAAGCAGATGCAGTAAAAGACTGATAAAATTCAACGGCCATTCATGGTAAAAAAAAAAGTCTCAGCAAACTAGGAAAAGGAGGGCACTTCTACAACCTGATAATAAACATCTGTGAAAAACTTAGAGCTAACATGATACTTAATCCCTAAAATCAGGAACAAGACAAGGACATCTGCTCTCACTACATCTATTCAATACTGTTGAATAGTCCAGTCACTGGAATGAGGCAGGGAAAAGAAGTAAGAGGCATCTGGATTGCAATGTGTGCTGGTTTATTTTAGGTGTTAATTTGACTGGATAAAGGATACTCGAGAAATGGCAAAGCAGGGTGTTTCCAGAGGAGATTGGTATGTCAGTCTGTGGACTGAGTGGGGAAGACTCACCCTCAATGTCGGGGACACCATCTGATCGGCCAGAGGCCTGGATAGAACAAAAAGGCACAGAAAAGGTGAATTATTTTCTCTTTCTCTTCTGGAGCAGAGACACCCTTTCCTGCCCTTGGACATCTGAACTCCAGGCTCTCTGGCCTTTGGACCCTGGGACTCACACTGGTACAACCCCTCCCCACCCAGGTTCTTGTCCTTGGACTCAGAGTTCCACCTCTGGTTTCCCTTGTTCTGAGGTCTTTGGACTTGAACTGAGCCAAACTCCCAGCTTTCCAGGGTCTCCAGCTTACAGACGGGCAGTCACAGGACTTTGTAGTCTCCATGGCCATGTAAGCAATTCTCCCAGTGAATTTCCTCTCATCAATCTATGTCTGTCCTATTGGTTCTGTTTCTCTGGAGAATGGAAGATGTAAAATTGCCTCTCTTTGCACAGCACATGACTGTCTATATAAGCAAATGCAAAGAATCTGCAAAGGAGCTACCAGAACTAGTAAGTGATGTTAGCAAGACCACAGATACAAGATTGGTAACGAAAATCAAATTTCTGTATGTCAGCAGTGAATAACAGACCATTAAAAAATACCATTAGGATAGCACCAAAAAATGTGGAATACTTTAAGCATAGTGATTACAAAATATGTAAAGATCTGTACACTGAAAATTACACAAGACCGATGAAAAAAAGAAACATTTTTTTCACTGATGAAGAAAGAAAGTACAATTTAAATGAACAACTATATCATGGCTATGTCTAGTCTCTTCAAAGTGATGTGTGGATTCCATGCAGTCTGAGTCAAAATCCAAGCAGGACTTTAGCACAAATTGAACAAGCAGATTCTAAAATTTATATAGAAATGCAAAGGAAATGATAGCCAAAATAAATTTAGAAAGTAGCCAAGTTGGATGACCGCAATAAACATAGTTCCAATAGTCCCTGGTCCTCTTGATCTCAGATGAGCCAGTCCCTGCCAAGGCCACTGCTCCTTGCACAGGCCCTCAGGTGGGAGACAAGGGCAGGTTGCCTCTTCTCCTAGCACCTAACCACTGCTGCCACTTCCAGACCACTGGCCTCGCACCTGAACCACAACTCCTGCCTGCTTTGAGCCTCCGGCCACCAGCTTTGATAGCTCCTACCTCTCAGCAGGCTTTGTACACAAATTCATTGAGGAGTTTAAAATGGCGTAGCCTTTCCTTGTGCTTTCAATTCTTACCAGTGTCCTGGGCAATCTGAATGCCCATGGGGCTATGCCAGTCATTCAGCTGGGCTCCCAGCCTTTACTGAACCTTCTTGGTATCAGTGGCCTTTACTCTGTGCCATTTTTTGATACCTCATACCAAGGGCTTTTCTCACCAATGTACCAGAACTGTGAATAAGAGTGAGGCTGCAAGGTCACCAGCTCCCCCTAGACCTGAGACTGCATTCTTAGAGACAGTGGTGGGTTTTTTTGCTCCGTCACCATGCTGGAGTGCAGTGATGCGATCTTGGCTCACTGCAGCCTCTGCCTCCCGGGTTCAAGCGGTTCCCACCTCAGCCTCCCAAGTAGCTGGGACTACAGGCGCGTGCCACCACGCCTGGCTATTTTTTTTTTTTTTTAAATTTTAGTAGAGACAGGGTTTCTCCATGTTGGCCAGGATGGTCTTGATCTCCTCACTTTGTGATCAGTCCACCTCAGCCTCCCAAAATGCTGGGATTACAGGCGTGAGCCACTGCACCTGGTGACAGTGTTGTTTTTTCAATAGCATTATCTTTCAAACCACAGTCACTGCTTCAGGGGCTGGAGAGTCATGAAAACTGGGTCCTGCGTCCCGTGAGTGAAGGCTTCCAAGGGGAACTCCACGACCTGAGAGGGTCAGCTGAACACCCCAGTCAGCCAACCGAGGAATGGGACGTCACATGAGGCCTACATGCATCCCCGTGCTCAAGAAAACGTCCCCAGGTTGAAGAAGCGACTTAGCAGTTATCAGAATGAGATCGCAGAGTGAGCAATGGCTGCCTATGTCCCCACCCAGGAGGGCGGTAGAAATGTGGGTGTAGGGAGTGTGGGTGGCATGAAATACTCGGTCCCATGATGGGATGGGCCCTGGAGTGCCGCGGTTCTGGGTTTCTTTAACCCCGCTGCACTGATCACGCTGGTGAGCTGCTGGGACCACTCGACTTGGCCCATTCCTCTGGGTTAAATATGGCAGGTGCCGTGAGCCAGTCCCAGTCCTACCCTGGAGATGAGCTGCATCCTCTCCCTCTGTGCATCTATGCCTGTCTACCCGCCGGTGGCCAACCACGGACGACTAATCACAGGGACTCAATGTCAACGCTTTCCTCCTCCCTCCCCAGATCCGAGGTGGCTCTCTGCAGCCTCCAGTCCCCTGCGTACTGCATTCCCTATGCTAGCGCTCCCTCATACCACAAACACAATTTTACCACCAACTAAGGATTCCTTGGACTATGCCACATCTTTTTACATTTATTTATTCATTTTTTGAGACGAAATCTCTCTGTCGCCAGGCTGGAGTGTAGTGGCACAATCTCATCTCACTGCAACCCCTGCCTTCGAGGTTCCAATGATTCTTCTGCCTTAGCTTCCCAGGCAGCTGGGATTACAGGCACATGCCACCACACCTGGCTAATTTTTGTATTTTTAGTAGAGATGAGGTTTCACCACGTTGGCCAAGCTGGTCTCGAACTTCTGACCTTGACCAAGTGATCCACTTGCCTTGGCCTCCCAAAGTGCTGGGATTACAGGCGTGAGCAACTACGCCTGGCCTATGCCACATCTTTTAAAAGTTTTGGCACAGTTTCATTCAAGGGAAACAGAATTGGGTTCACTTGTTCTCATGTATTTTTAAGTAGTCAATTTTGCTTTTCAGAATAAAACACTTGGAAGAAAGAAGTACTATACACAATTTTTCCAAATCACTTTTTTTTTAAAGATCAGATGTTATACATGAAAATAGACCGCCATGAGATTGTTAGATTTTTTTTCCTCTAAATATCTTTTAAAAAGCAAAATAAATCCCCATCTGTTCCCTGATGGTATAACAGCCAAAAATGTCAGAGAAGCTGTAGAATCCATCCCGTCATGATTTGTAAAGACCTCTTTTGACCACTGGCATGTGACTTTGCAGATGTCAGAGGCAGGACAATGAAATGGTAAAAATGCAAAGTAAGATCCAGAAAGAATACCTTCAAAATCAAACTCTATCTTCCTTTTACATGTTCTCTGGAAAGATAGTCCCTCTTGCCTCAAACCTACCTCAGCATGTTAAGAACTGAAAGAAATCTATATGTGAGTAACTCTTCCTAAAATGTCTGTAAGGCATGGAATGGAAATGCATGCACAGGCAGCGCCCAGCAGGGTCACCTTCAAGGTCAGCCTCACGGCGTTGCAGTTCTCCTGCAGCGGGTTCAGCTTCAGCGTCTCCCCGAGGTTGCTGCAGCCGGATGACTGGTGCCGCAGCTCGCAGCAGACACACACCTCCACACTGTCAAACTTAATCTAGACAGAGGAACACAGACAGACCTCACCGTTAACAGGCATTCGACCTCCGCGGGTACGCTTGAGTGACACAATTCAGAACACAGGAAAACGACTCCATTCAAAGTAGCCTGCTTCAGTATGTTTAACAGTAAAGCCAAAATGGTTTCTATTGACCCAGGTCATCAGGAAAACTTCCAATTCCTATTTTAAAAGCAAGGTATAAAAAAGCAGAAGTGCGTTTGAAGAAACCTAAGCTTTACATGAGAGAAAACTGCAGGTGGATTGCACGGTGAGACAAAAGTAAATCAACTGAGAATGACGCACGTTGATGTATGCATGGCGATGTAGGTAACACACATGGAGATGTAGGCAACATGCATGGAGATGTGTGTAACATGCATAGAGATGTATGTAACACGCATGGAGATGTGTGTAACATGCATGGAGATGTGTGTAACACACATGGAGATGTAACACGCATGGAGATGTAACACACATGGAAATGTAACATGCATGGAGATGTAACACGGAAATTTAACACATGGAGATGTGTGTGACACACCTGGAGATGTAACACACATGGAGATGTGTGTGACATGCATGGAGATGTAACACATGGAGATGTATGTAACACACATGGAGATGTGTGTGACACACATGGAGATGTAACACACATGGAGATGTGTGTGACATGCATGGAGATGTAACACATGGAGATGTATGTAACACACATGGAGATGTGACACGCATGGAGATGTATGTAACACACATGGAGATGTGACACACATGGAGATGTGTGTGACACACATGGAGATGTGTGTGACACACATGGAGATGTAACGCACATGGACATGTAACACATGGAGGTGCATGCAACACACATGGAGATGTGTGTAACATGCATGGAGATGTATGTAACACACATGGAGATGTAACACACATGGAGATGTGTGTGACACGTGTGGAGATGTAACACACATGGAGATGTATGTAACACACATGGAGATGTAACATGCATGGAGATGTGTGTGACACGTGTGGAGATGCAACACACATGGAGATGCATGTAACACACATGGAGATGTATGTAACATGCATGGAGATGTGTGTGACACTTGTGGAGATGTAACACACATGGAGATGTATGTAACACACATGGAGATGTGTTATCCTAGCTCTGTGCCTTGGCTCCTTCTCCTCCCATAGTCAGACACTTCCTGCCTCAGTTCATGGTCTATCAAACTCCTGCTCATCCGTCAAGGTCCAACCCCAGCGCCACCCTTGAGGACTCGTCTGGTTTTCCCGCCTCACAGCTACTGGAGACTGACTTTATCCAGCTAGAGTTGCGTCTTATCATCACAGTATTGACAATGCCGATAAGGTATAGGTGTTCAATAAATGCTGAATAAACAAAGGCGGCTTGGAAAATAGAAAACCATGGAAGGAAAAAAATGTGTTTCCAGCATTTTAAAAAGCAGTATGAGAGTCTCAGTGAGAGGGAAGAGAACAGAGTGACAGGGAGAAAAGCAGCTTTAAAAAAGTAAAGTCCTCGACAGGTGTGGTGGTACGCCAGCTGCAGCCCCAGCTACTCGGCAGGCCAGGGCAGGAGGATCACTTGAGCCCAGGAGCTTGAGACCAGCTTGGCTGGGCAACACAGTGAGAACCTGTCTCAAAAATACATAAATAAAAAATAATAAAGTCCTAGAGGTAAAACTACTAAAAATCAGTAAAATCTATGCAATTTTATTCAAAATCACACTGAACATGAAACAAGTGATTTTCCTTAGATGACAAAGTGCCCAGCCGGGTGTGATAGCTCATGCCTGTAATCCCAACATTTTGGGAGGCTGAGGTGGGCAGATCACCAGGTCAGGAGACCAAGACCAGCCTGGCCAAGATGTTGAAACCCCATCTCTACTAAATATACAAAAATTAGCCCAATGTGATGGCAGGCGCCTATAATCCAAGCTACTTGGGAGGCTGAGGCAGGAGAATTGCTTGAACCTGGGAGGTGAAGGTTGCAGTGAGCCGAGATCACACCACTGTACTACAGCCTGGGTGACAGAGTAAGACTCTGTTTCAAAAAAAAAAAAAAACAAACTGTCCTACTTTCCAACATATAATATGTTTACAGCAGCCACCTCAAAGCGCAAATACTTTTCAGACAAATATTGGCCATTTATAAATGTAACAAGGAATTTTTCACCGCATGAAATACTGTCGAGGCTGAGACGACACTTATAAAACCTCCAGGTATCAACATGTCACCTCTCCTAAATACTAGGGCAGGGGTAATACAGCATCTGCAGAGCCAAGAAATGTGCTGGTATTCAACCGAGGAGCTCAGCTTCCACTTTCTTAGGTTAGCTTAAGATTTAGCCCCTGCCACCCTCTGCCCCACGTCAGGTAAGCTTTGTGACTGGCTTTCGGCAGTAGAATACGGGTAAAAGCGACAGCCTGCAGGTTCTGAACTTAAGGCTTCCACAGGCTTCATGTTTCTGCACTTCCTCCCTGGAACTGCCAATATTCAGCAGGAAAAGAACAGGCTCCAGGGAGATGCCAGCTCTCCAGCCCCAGCAGGAGACCCACGGGGCACACCTGCAGAACTGTTCTGCCCTGTGGTCCATGCACACACAACATTACTAGGTTAGATCAAACCGTTTTTTAAATACTCAAACAAATTAGCCTCCCACCAACAGGGTGTGAGTTCAGGCTAACCCACATCCTCACCAATGCTTGCTAATGTGGACTTTTTGTCCATGCAGTAATTAACATAATAGTATCTAATTTAGGGTTTGTTTTCATCTTTGCTCATTTTCTTAACCGTTCATATTGGGAAATGTAACACATACACAAAAAGTGCACAGAGCAAACACATTCAGTTCAATAATTTATCATCAGGCAAGCATCCATGGGACCATGGCCATCTTCCTGGAAGGACCACGCCTCGTTCCCTATTATTCCACCCCCTGGCTGCACCAAGAGCTAAATACAGTCCTTACTTTTTAAGTAATCACTTCCGGGCTTCCACCTTTAAACATTTACCACTACAGTGTAGTTTCACCTGGTTTTCTAACTTGATATAAGTAGAGTCATATAGTATTTTTAGTATTTGGCTTCTTTCAAAATTACAAGATTCATCTACCTCACTGCATATAAATACAGCTGATCATGTTCACTGTTGTATATTACATTGCACGAATATGCTGCCATTTACATATTTATTCTCTTGCCAGCGGACATCTGGATTTTTGCTAATTTTTTTGCAATGAGATTAATGCCACTTTGATAGGCTGTACTTGTCTGCTGGTACATACATGTGCATATTTCTTTGGGGTACAAAATGCCTATTGATTGGAGCTGCTGGGTTTACACTGCAGAATGACTGAATCAAGCTAATTCACAAATCTCCTCACTTTTTAATTTTTATTTTAAGTTCTGGGATACACACACAGAACGTGCAGGTTTGTTACATAGGTATATATGTGCCATGGTGGTTTGCCACACCTGTCAACCCATCATCTAAGATTTAAGCCCCGCATGCATTAGGTATTTGTACTAATGCTCTCCCTCCCCTTACCCCCACCTTCTGACAAGTCCTGGTGTGTGATGTTCCTCTCCCTGTGTCCACGTGTTCGCACTGTTCAACTCCCACTTATGAGTGAGAACATGTGGTATTTGGTTTTCTGTTCCTATGTTAGTTTGCTGAGAATGATGGCTTCCAGTTTCATCCATGTCCCTGCAAACGACATGAACTCATCCTTTTTAATGGCTGCATAGTATTCCATCGTGTATATGTGCCACATTTTCTTTATCCAGTCTATTATTGATGGGCATTTGGGTTGGTTCCAAGTCTTTGCTATTGTAAATAGTACTACAATAAACATACACGTACATGTGTCTTAGTAGTAGAATGAATTATAATCCTTTGGGTATATACCCAGTATTGGGATTGCTGGGTCAAATGGTATTTCTAGTTCTAGATCCTTGAGGAATCGCTACACTGTCTTCCACAATGATTCAACTAATTTATAGTCCCACCAACAATGTAAAAGTGTTACTTTTCCTCCACATCCTCTCCAGCATCTGTTGTCTCCTGACTTTTTAATAACTGCCATTCTAACCGGCACGAAATGATATCTCATTGTGGTTTTGATTTGCATTTCTCTAATGACCAGTGATGATGAGCTTTTTTTTGGCTGATATATTTATCTTTTTTTGAGGTGACAAAATTTAAAATCTACTCTTAAGCAATTTTGAAATGTGTGATGCATTATTTGTTTATTATGGTCATCATTCTGTGAAACAGATCACTGAAACTTTCTCCAATTTAACTGAAATTTTGTACCCTTTGATCTATATCCTCTTTGGCTTCAACTGTTTCCCTTTGCTGTTATCAACTGGACAGGAGCCCGGCTCTCCTAAAACAGTTTACTCTCCCACATCTCAAAAACACGCAAGGAATTATTTCATATGATCACATCTCTAGGGCAGGCATTAAGATTAAAGTAGCTATCATAAACGGCAAGACATTTTCTTCAGTTTGAAGGATCAACCAGGAAAAGGGAGGGGAGATCAACTTGGCTGGAAAGCATGATTTATCACATAAAATAACCCTTCACTGACCCCAGGGGATAGACATCCAAATAAGTCTTTTCCGTCAGTTATTTCACTGACTTGGTGATTAATTCTTAGAAAAATTCCGAAAACCTCCTGATTAGTTCCCTGACCTTGACATCTGGGTGTGCAGGCGGCTGACAGATTTATTTCAAGAGTACCCCTCAGTGTTCGGGTCACTGGGAACGACACTGCAGAGCTTTGCAAATGAAGCCATGGTAATTTTTCACAAATCTCTTTGGAGCACTTAAAAGCTATCCTGCCCCCCTTATTTATGGTCTGTCAGCCTGTCTGGGAGTAGAAAGAGCTTATACAACAAAAAGAGAGGGATGCCCCCACGATTCTCATGCAGAAGTACGAATGGGATGGGTCTGTGACCTTCAGATATTATCAAAGGGAAG